TTTGTTCCAGTACCCAATTAGCCTTACCATTAAAAAATTGGTCCTCATTTCTAAACCTTCAGTGAGGAGCCAGCTAATGACCCACAGCACAACACAGCCCAGCTCTCATCCTTTCCTATCCATGGGATTACTAGGACTCACAATAGCAAAGCCTGAATATTCAGATTCCTAATAGGATTTTTAGATATTCAGCACAAAACTCTGCTGAGGGAATCACAAGCCCTGCAGTCAGTGAGCAGCTAATAGATTCAGTAGATTTAATAGGGTCATGATGACCACGTCAATCATTTTGCAGAATGATACCCCAGCTCTGTCCAGTATCATGGATAATAAATTTAGCCACAGTGCAAATTTACTTTAAATTAAATCAGATCTTTATCAAAGAGGATAGAATTGGTGTTAAAAATTGCTTCTTTCCCCCATTCCCTGTAATTTCTGCTCTTCCCCCACCATTGCTGCCCTGATTGGAGAGCAGCACACAAGCATTCCCTGTCACATCCCTTCAATCCCAGCTCACACCAGTGTCCCCAGCAGGGCTTGTTTTAGCGGCTCAAAGCAAAGAAAGGGGATTTGCATACAGGGAGGGGAGAGGAATCATCACCTCTGTCACAAAGCACTCCTGCTGTAGGTGTGCCAGCAGAATTTAAACAACTGAAAACCAGAACCTTTTCCTATAGCTACTGATAGAACCCAATCCCAACTTTAATAAAGGTACCAGAGCACAGCAGTGGCAGTTCATGCCACCAGGACCAGCAGCACAGGAATTGCAATGAGTTACTCAAAGACATGGTTTGGCAGCTAAACACCAAAAACTTCCAGTGTTAATATCAAAGGCTCATCATCAGTTTGGGTTAAGCTAAACCCACAGAGCTATTGAGGGAGACAGTGCCTCCTGCCCAGCACCAGCCCTCACAGCATCCCTGCAGAGCCCAACATCCCTCCCCACCCAACCAGCACCCAGATGTGAGCCAGATGTGCCACTGCTGCGTGACTGAGAGCTCTCACTGTCCCACCTGCTGCCCACCACACAATTACCCAAAAAAGATGGTTTGCCAAGGGGTTTCTGCTTCAGGTGATCTGTGAATTGTCTTCTGGGCTGTCAGTACAAGAGGCAGCACCATGGTTAATGATGGGGATTTCATAAGTGAAAAATGAGTGCTTGGCACACCTTCCTCTGGGCAGGCAGTGCTGTTTCAGTGTGCTCCCACCGAGTTCAGCTTCGTGGGGAGGCAGGAGATTCAGTGCTCAGGTGCATTTTGCCTCGTGTTTGGTTTCGCCTTGCCACCTCGCCTAATTCCATGTCTACAGAGCACAACCATCCACACCCCTCCATCACCGTGACAGCAGGGCTGCCAACAAAGTCCAGATATAACAGTGCTGATTCAAGGCCAGGAAGGGTGAGCAGTGAAGTATGACACACGGGAATTTCAGCAGTGTTTTCACATCCCAGCTCTGCCAGTTGAGGAAGCTGGACTGTACACTGGTTTGCTGCAGGAAGGAGTCTCCCACGGTGAGCCCACAGCTCAGCCAAGCACAGGGGCTGCATGGCATCATCCAGGGGTCAGCAAGAACCTGAATGAGAATAAAGATGCCTGCACTGTCCCTCCTGCACAGCTGGCCATGCTACACCACTCCCACCCCACTGTCCCTCCCCACAGCCAGGCTGCACCCACAGTGGTCCCACACTCCCTGCTGTGCCCACAGAGAGGGGAAGGTTGGCTCCTGCACTCACCCTGGAGGGTGGAGGAATTAAAATGTGCAACCAGTGCCAGGTGTAGACAGGTGTAGACAGCTGCCAGACAGGGAGGTGACATGGCACATCATGGTGACAGCCACCATGCTCCATGGCAGCACACGTGTCCTTTGCTCCCAGGAAGACAAGGACACCCAACCTATGGTGCCCTGTCCCACCCCTCCCACTGCCCTCTCTGGACACATCTGCTGCTGCTGGATCACCTCAGACATGCCTTTTTCTCCTATGCCCACTTCTCAGGGCTCCCTGGTGACCCAGCCCCAAGGCAGCACATCCGAGTGACAGGACGTGCATGGGAATGCTGCAGCCACACACCCCTGCTCCCCCCCTGCCTCACAGCCCTGTGACACAGCACAAACACTGTCTTCTGGCAGAAAACCAGCAAATACTCCTGCAGTCTCTAACGTGCCAACGTCCAGCAATAATTACCACAGCCACTCCTCCAGGCAGAGGGCTGAGCTGGATGCTTGCATGGTGCCATACACGTGGCTGCACATCCTGGGCACCCATCACCTGCAACTCCAGGGCTTGCATCCTCCAGGTCCCCAGCACAGCAAAGTCACACAGCCCACATCTACATCAAGTAAAATTAGCTTATTTGTTGCTCTTAATACACTAGGAAGGCTTCCACAAGATGTCAGCCTAACTAAATGACAACACCAGCCTCAGGGTGCAATTCTACTTTCCCAGCGCATGGATTTAGCAGGAAAACCAGTTCTGCTGCTGCTCTAGGAGTGGGGTAAGTGAGAAGCCCCTGAAAGGGTTATCTGGTCCTAGCAAGCTTATTCCTGAGGCAGACATGCCAATTTGCCTCTCCACATCGCATGTGAAGCTTCAGGCTGCCACATCGGAGCTCCTGTGGTGGCAGAAGTCCCCAGATGCCACTCAGACGTGCTTTTCCTCGGCAGGCAAGTGAGTTTCCAGTCTCAGAAGAAACACATTTACATGAGTTTTCTGGGCAGCTGGGATTTATTCCCAGCCTGTTACACCTTGACACCCTAGGCAGCTCCCAGGGAACAATGTGAACGTTACATTAGAGTTCCAGACTTCAGAGACTCAGATACACACTTGTGGTAATAACTGTTATTTCACAACAAGTGCACATAAAAACACGTCTTGCTAAGAAAAGCGCCCATAAAGTTCCTGTTAACAGTTTCCTAAACAGGAAACTCGCTGGCAAGGTGCTAAATAGCCCTTGTTTGGTTAAGGGCCAAAGAATAGGGAGCTTCAGAAAGGAAACAACTCACCGTGTTTGAACATTAACTCTTAACTCTGTGCCAAATTACACAATCTTAACATGGGAGGAACCTACCAACAGATACTGTTGCAAAAAAAGCAAAACGTTTCCAACAACACTTCATTTCAGCCTCCTGGTAATAGCGAAAAGAGGCAGTGCAGGAGAGGGGTAACAGTTCACCTCAAATTACACCCTCTGGAACACCTTAAATGTTAACATGCTGAAGTGCTATTAAAATTCAACCCAACCCTCCAGAGGAGGATGTTGCAGATGAGCTGCTCGAGGAAGCCCAGCCGCAGGTACCCCGAGGTTCCGTCGGACAGCTGAGCCCGGCTTTCAGCTCCCGTGCTCTTTGTGCAGTGAACATTAAATGTGAACAAACTCTTCAAATAGGTTTATGTAATTTCTTTGCATGTATTTCTTTCACCCTAGAGCAAATGTAAAAACATTTACTATGGCAGAGCAATTTAAGACGTATTTAACATTTCCTAATTTGCTTAATCATTAAAGACAGTTACTCTCCTGATGGGTTCAGGGAAGGGTTTATTCATTTTCTTTAGGTTTTTTGGGTGGGTCTGAGGTTTTCTTTTTGTATGTTTATAAAAAGTCCACCTTCTCCATCCCTTTACTTTCCACTCAGTGCTCCCTTTGAGTCTGCCCACCCCAGAAGGGGAGCACCACATGCAGTGTTACCATTCCACCACGGGACAGCCAAGGGAGAAGCAGGCAGAAAACAGCAAGTCTTAGTTTAAGCAAGTGCCTCTAAGGAATCAAAGCAAAGAACCAACACTTAATAACAAAGGTAAACAGCCATTTTATTTTAAAACCTTCTTTAGACACAATTCATCTTCCTCCATCAGCATGGGAAGCTTGTTATTCTCAGCTCATTCCATATCTTAGAGGTTGAAGGTGATAGCTTGCCATTACAGAGCAAATGTTTTCAAGTGCCTCCTGCTACATTATTGCTTTACATCTCAAGGTGAACATAAAAAAAGCTCATCCAAGTTGCCTGGAATGGGAAGCCAGCATCCCCCTGTCTCATCCACATCAAGCCATGACCAGAGCAGTTGCTCCGAAGGCTTTCCTGCACATGCATCCTAAAAACCTATAAAAATTTCAATCGAGCCTGTTAATTTACCTTTCAGTACCAGCTGTCCCTAAGGAGAGGTTGCTCCGAATAAGGGGGCAATGAACTTTTAAGCCAAGCAAAAAGCCGTATCAGCCCATTCTCCATCTCCTCCTCCTCGCTGTGGGTGCACGCTCCGGCCAGAGCCTGGCTGGGCTGGACCAGCACACACAGCTCTGCAGGGTCACTGCTCCTGCAAATGCACGCCTCTGCAATGCTAAACCCCACAGGGTAACTGCTACAGGGGCTAATGGGAGCAGTGTCCCCCGATTCACAGGAGACACACAGCAGCAGGACGCGGGGTGACAAGAAGGCAGCCCTCGCACTGCTCCGAGCCCCGACTGTGAATGCCAACCTCACCACTTCCTCTCCTGCACTCCAGTCCCCAGGAAAAAGCAAGTACAAAAGGCACCGTTTGGGAGGAGAAAATAGATTTTCTAGTTTCATAACCACACACTGTCAAGCTGGATTCCAATTAAATTTTTCCTGTGCCCTAATGCAAGCTTTGCTTTTTCCAGAAATTTCCTCTCGCCTGAAGCGTTCGCTCCTGTCCCCTGCTCCTGGGCTGTACTTCTGACACACCACCTCAGCCACTCGACTGCTCTCTGCCAGTTTTGCAGGGACCACAGCCACACACAGCTGTTACACAGAGCTTTCAGCAGCCCAGACCCTCTCACCTCCATCAAAGCCGGTGCTGACCAGCAGCCTCTATTCAAACTGTGCGCATTTCGCATCTAAAAGTTCCTTTCACTTTTAAATATCTGCAGGGATATTTAGCAGAAAACTGGGAGCAGCCAGCACTCAGGCACTTCCACCCGCAGCTCTGCACTGCTTTTAACCCCAGCTGAGCAGAGCCAGTGCAGATGTGGGGGGAGCAGGGGGGAGCAAGTCTGCTCTGCTCCTTCTATCGCGGACGAAGGACTCTTGCCGATGGATTTTTTTCTCCCTCTATCAGTGGTCTTTAACACGATCACAGTATGCAGCACAATGCTTTAAAACAGCAAAGCTTCTGGAAAACCCAAACAAAAGGAACGTCACCAGGTGACGTCAGCCTATATAGAGCCCTGTGTGGTCGCAGCGCATAAGCAAACCCATTCTTGTACCGCTTCCCTGAAAAGCTTTTCAGTAAATGCACTCATGCTACTACAGGAGCTTCTCTCAGCAATAAGCCACCCATCTGCCATCAACAAGTTAGGACTAAAAGAAGCCACAGCTGCGGAAAAGGAAAACGTGAGCTTCAATTAACCAGCTGAGCAGCCTCGGAGGACGAAAACTTGTATTAAGATTTAAAAATTGCAGACCTGTCAGAGGAGATCAAGGCAGCGATTTCAAAAGGAATATTCCAAGAGAGCATCGTGGATTTGATTTTGCACTAATATCAAAGGACACTAAACCCAGTCAATTATTCAAGGCTGTCTTACATTAGAGCCTTTCACAGACTCACGGCGTTGAGTCTCAAACTACGACTGAATGCACCCTCCAATGTACTCAAAAGAATGGGTAAGTTCCTGCGTTTCTCTCTTCCTTGTATAATGAATGACCGGCTCTGCTTTAAAGGAGCAGTTAGTTAGGTGCTAAAGCTGATTGCTCTGCACTGAACCTTATGGAAAAAAATGTTTTCTGATAGTGCCACTGTAAACCCTCCGTAATCGAGATAAAGCCTCCTCCTAAGTGTAATGTCCAAGTATTCGGTTTGTGTAGTAAGTTGTTTCTTGCATTTAGAATTAGCTTGTCGGAAATGCATGGCAATGTTATCTGCAGTGAAATCTTCCACTGTGATGTTCCAAGTGTACTGATAAGGCTATCCTATCTTGTTGTTTTCCTAAATTATATTCTGCAGGCTTACATTTCAAGTGGCCATTAGGGGCTCGTATGCTGGCAGCACTATATGCAATGAGTATGGTTTTAAAAATGCTGCCTGCCTTGGGCATGGCTTGTCCACCAAAATGTCGCTGTGAGAAGCTGCTCTTTTACTGTGACTCTCAGGGGTTTCACTCAGTGCCAAACACCACTGAAAAGGGCTCGCTAGGTTTGTCACTGAGGCACAATTATATTTCTGAACTTGAAAGGGATCAATTTGCAAGCTTCAGTCAACTTACTTGGCTTCACTTAGATCATAATCAAATTGCAACAGTCAGAGAAGATTCTTTTCAAGGACTGTATAAACTTAAGGAATTAGTCTTAAGTTCCAACAAAATCTTTCATTTGCCAAACACAACTTTTAGCCAGCTGCTTAACCTGCAGAATTTGGACCTCTCTTTTAATCAGTTATCCTCTCTGCACCCCGAGCTCTTCTACGGCCTTCGCAAGCTACAGACCTTGCACTTGCGATCCAACTCCCTGCGGACCATCCCGGTCCGCCTGTTCTGGGACTGCCGTAGCCTGGAATTCCTGGATTTGAGCACAAACCGCTTGCGAAGTTTGGCTCGCAATGGATTTGCGGGATTAATCAAGCTGAGGGAGCTTCACCTAGAGCACAACCAGCTGACAAAGATTAATTTTGCTCACTTCCTCCGGCTGAGCAGCCTGCACACGCTCTTCTTGCAGTGGAACAAAATCAGCAACTTGACATGTGGGATGGAGTGGACCTGGGGCACCTTAGCAAAGCTCGATTTGACTGGAAACGAAATCAAAGCCATCGACCTCACCGTCTTTGAAACTATGCCTAACCTTAAAACCCTTCTCATGGATAACAACAAGCTCACCACTCTGGATTCCAAGATCCTAAGTTCGCTGACATCCCTCACCACCGTGGGCCTCTCTGGCAATCTGTGGGAATGCAGCCCAAAGATCTGCTCCTTGGCCACATGGTTGAGTGGCTTCCAAGGTCGGTGGGAGCACTCCATCCTCTGCCATAGCCCCGACCACACCCAGGGAGAGGATATTCTGGATGCAGTGTATGGTTTTCAGCTTTGCTGGAATTTATCGACTGTGGTTACACCCGTGGCTACGACGTACACCGCCCCGACTACTGAGTACACGAAAAGAATCAGCTCTTCTCATTTCCATATGGGAGACAAAGAGATTCCAACTACGGCAGGCATGGTCGTTACCACCGAAGAACATTTCCCAGAGCCAAACAATGCCATCTTCACTCAGAGGGTAATTACAGGAACAATGGCTTTATTGTTTTCTTTCTTTTTTATCATTTTTATAGTGTTCATCTCCAGGAAGTGCTGCCCTCCTACACTAAGAAGAATTAGGCAGTGCTCAATGATTCAAAACCACAGGCAGCTCCGATCCCAAACACGGCTGCATATGGCCAATATATCAGACCAAGGACCCTATAACGAGTACGAACCCACCCACGAAGGACCCTTCATCATCATCAATGGCTATGGACAGTGCAAGTGCCAGCAGCTGCCCTATAAAGAATGTGAAGTATAATACCTACAGCCCATCACAAAGTAAATCAGATAAGTAACCTATTTTAAAATTGTAGGGGACCTACATCAGATTCTAATTTTTACAAATGTTGACATAAAGCCTAATTTTCCAAGCTACTTAATGGAAACATTGTTTATGGAGTGGTGCAGTATTTTTAAGTTTTTTAAAAAATAAATCCATAATATTTTCAGTGTTAAAGAAGCAATGATTACATTAAACTTGCACTCCTAATGTTTAAAAGTCTAAAGAGATGCTCACCTCAAACTATGTAAAATGTTTCATGTTATGTAATTATATGACTGTGTGTAAACATTTATACCCAAGTCTCCATATTCTACTTTTTCTAATGAAAAGAGTCCGAGGGGAAGGACACTGTACAGGGATCTGAGGGGGACGTACACTTCATTTGTTCCACTGCATCTGGAGGATCCCAAACGCTGCAGCTGGCTCGGGGCACTTTAAAGGCAGCTGAGGAGGAAGATTTATTTTCCTTCTCTGATAATTTCACTCCAGTAAGAGATGGCAGGGGAAACGGGGGAAAAAAAGCAGCAAAGGTCCAGGTGGGAATTTCAGTGCACTGGGGATCGGTGAATTTGTTTTAAATACAGTTTTGCTCTCTGCATATTCATAGTTTGGCTCGGTGAAAGGGACAGCAGGCACAGAAAGGAGCAGTTCACATGAGCACACACACATGGGCAGGGTGGGCACACACATGAACAGGACGACCCTCCAGGTGTTCCCAAAATGGCCACGTAGCTTCTTTGGGGAGGCTCAGCACGACGGGATCGATTCTAAATATTAAGTACATTCAATACTTCTCAGCTCCCTGGTTTGACTTGATGATGCTTTTCATGAATTCAGGCTAATTACTTAATGACTGTGAACAAACAGCATTTCGACACCTTTTCATGTGTAAATACCCTTAATGCAAGGTTTTCTTAATTAAAAGTAAATACCACTGATGAGGTTAAGAAGAAGAGGGAAGGAAGAAAGGAAGGAAGGAAGAAGCCTCTCTTTGTCCCCCCGCTGCCCCCCCAGCCGAGGCTTCCTCTCGACTGGAAGCTATTTTCATGCACTAACTCCACTGGTTTCTGTGGAGACAGAATCAGCCCCTGTAATATAAGCTCTCACTTGTCCTCCTCTTCCAAAATTCAAGATTAAAAAAAACCCCTTCTGACAAGTTAGGATAATATAATTAGATTATAGAATAGTTCACTGAAAAATGTTTCGTTTCTTACTTGATATGGGACAGAATCTAAACTAGTATGACTTTTTAAAAGATCGTATATAAATCTAGATACACACATGCACCTCATTCTAAGGAGTAATTTGGTTTCTTTAGCCAGAAGTACCATATTGCTATTTATACTCTATTATGAAATTATATGTAAATATTTGCAGATCTATGCAGCGATGGTGGTACTCAGATGCCACAAGGGTGGGGGGTGGGGGGTCTGCAAAGGATTACATTATTTTTAAGTCAACTACTCAATTATTGTAAACATTCTAACCAAAGCTAAAAGGTCCAGAGGGATGGAGTATTATTTTATATATATATACATGTATGTATAACTAAAAAATGTGTTGTGTCCAATGCTGCAGTGTTAAACAATTCCCAGCACATCCCGATGAAGAAACAAAATTCCTCACAGTGTTGCCATACCTTGAGCAAATCCATAATTACAGTATGCTAATTGTGATGTACTAAACTATCCTGCAAACTTTTTAAACAGAAAAAGCACTGCATAAAAATCTGTTGGCTATTTCACTCTGCTTTTCTCTATCTGTATTACCACTTGGTGAGGTATTTAGGGTGCAATTATACAACAGTTCAATGTTTTCTTGTGAGATGAATTTGTCCAAGGCAATTATAGCAAGACAAGTGACTTCTGTTAAGATTTTACATAAAGGTTTTTCAATTACTGCGTTTGAATATATTAATTTGCATAATTTTACTTTTACATACAGTGCCCTTATAAAACCAATATTTTGTTTACTTCCCATGACCCTGTATTTTAGTGGAAGAGATCCAGTGAAGCCTAATGGTTTTCCACAGAGATACCTTTGAACCCTTGTAACTGTTAATACTACAATGAGTCCATTTACACCTATTCTAGGCAATTAATTTCTGCTTTTAACTGACTACAAAAAAGTCCTGCGGGGTAGGTGGACAAAGAGCAAATGTTCTGTATGATTAAATCCCACGTGAGGCAGCAGGTCAGACCTAAACTGAGAAATGCAAACCCATATTGGTATCCAGGGGGTTTTAGCTGCTTGTAGAAAGACCTGCTTCATTCCTTCCCACAAATAGGAGCTCACAGCTCTTCCCTGAGGTCCAGGCTGCTGCTCTGCTCGGGCATTGCTGCCAGCAGGGACCTGCCCTGGCTGTGCACCTCCCTCACCTCACCCAGCCATCACTGCACTGGGGGATTGGGAAGCAGCCACAGTGGGAATGACTTCCACGTACAGCTGCAGGGTACCAGCAGAGACAAAGTTATCACTGAGCTCATTAATTATCCTGGCAGCCAAATAATCTGGCTACGCTGTCATTCCCCATCAGATGTCAACACTGAACTCTGATGGCCCCAGCTGCACCTGCAAGAAGGAGTTCCAGCTCTGCCCTCCAGCCCAGCAGAAACCCTTGTTGTAGGACAGCTCAAAGGGTGCCATGTCAGTCTTCCACATGGGAACAAGAAGTGGCTGCTTCATGAAGAGCCGAGGTTTCTCCCAAGAAGGTGCTTTCCCAACAACCCAGCTCTGAGCAGAAATCACTCCATCTTCATTAGCTTTTAATTATGCCCAAGCAGAGCAAAGACAGATGTTCCAGCAACGCTGGATTGAACCCTCTTCTCCATCCCAGCCACTCACACTGACTTTCCAGGTATTAAAGTGCTGTTCCAGTGCCTCTCCAAGCAAACCCACCCAGGCACCCAACCTCTCTCCCCCACCATCATTCCCAGTTTCCAGTGGTCCTGCAGTGCTTGGCTCCCAGAGAGCTGAGCAGGAGGCAGCAGCAGAGCCCAGCAGGCACCGTTCCCTCACGGTGACTCCCTGTACTCCACACTAATACGCAGCCAATCTCCCAAATGCCGTGGTTTATGGCTGCCATTTCCAAAATCATTTGTTGCCAGGTTCCAGGCATAAGCAAAGCAATTCTGCAAACATTACATTTAGGGTAACAGGTATCATAAAACTCGCAGAATGTCAAACACTAGCAGTGAAGTCGACTTGGATTCCCTGCGGAGGGGCAGGGAATGGCAGCAGAGCCATTGCTCTGCACAAGGACACAGCCACAGGCTGTTAATATTTCTTATTTTAAAGTTACTGTCTTCCACTTGCAATTGTTTGTGACTCTTCCAGGCAAGGAGGGGATTGTAATAATTGTGCTACTCGGCAGTCTCTGATTTATTTTGTTTGTGGAACAAGAACCACGATGATTTGGTTTAAATTAATCGTATTTCAATACAAGCGCTGGCTGATGACAAGAGCTTGTTAACGTGCTCTCTCCAAATACCATCTCTGTTGCACAGCCTCAGTTTCTACAGATGCTAAATGGCATTACAGGTGCTTCATTCAACACCTCCGGGCACAGCCTCAGGTGTTCAGGGCCTTTTAGAAAGGGAATTTCTTGTACTGCTCTTAAGGTCCTCATCCCACCCAAAGACCTCCAGGCTTGCTGATCTCCAGTCAGCTTCTCCTGCTCCCCACCCTTGTGTCAGTGAAAGGCAAACCCAGCAGCACAGGTTCAGTTTTTGAGTCATCATCCTGGAACAGGGCTGAATTAATGCTCTCAGTTAGTCGCTCTGCATTAGATCAGTGTTTAAATGCACACAGCTAAAAATTACTCGATGAAGGGTAAAATGGGTTAGCATTTAGTCTCCAGCTGAAGTGTTCCTCTGCACTGAGCTCCAATTCCCTATCAGATGGAAATGTAATGAATGCTGCTCTATCAATGTTTGGTTTTGTTTGCTTCTCCCCCAAGCAGAAATGATCCGATTTCTCAGCGATCAGCCGCATGCAAATCTGAGCATCTGAGCTTCTGTCCCATTACATCCCTCAGGAGACAGTGGCCTATTGCTAACATGTAAAATCAGAAACATCCAGTGGCTTTAAACCAGAAATCTGCACTGCACACTTATTTTTAATGTGTCTAAGGTAATTTCTGTACTACTTTAATGGAAATAAAGTTGATTTAATTTTGTGATCTGTGTAGCTATCAAAATCCATCTGTTCAGACCTATGAAATTTACCCAGAAGCTGAATTTCATCTTTCTTATGAAGTTTTCCATAAAAATTTAACAAGTTCAAAGGGAGATACAGTATTTCTTCTCCCCCCCAAAAAGGAAGAGACAAGGAAACAACAAAAGTCAAAAGTAGCAGCTCCTCCCTCCCCACACCTTCTTTCATTGCAAAATGTCCCAGATGCTAAAATTAGTGCTGGGCTCTGCTTTTTAAGGTGCCACATTAGCAGGATGCTTAAAGATTATTTCAGAGTTAGCTGGAAATTCAGCATTTCACATCTCATATACCTTTAGAGAGGTTTCTAGGGAAAGGTAACAGAAGCTTTGAGGGGTATAATAAAGCCTTAGATGGGGTAAAACACCATGCAGGTTGTACACCTCTGTGTAAGCACTGAAAGCTACGCCTGCCATCCTCCAACTACTCCTTTGTAAAAAGTCAAACAAAACCCATCCCATTTTTCTTTTACTAATGAAAACACTAGTAAGTGAACTATTCTACCAGCTTAGCAACCTGAGATTACAGAGAGTCCTAGATGAGTCGTGTTTAAATTACGTTTCAAGAGCCAACTTCTGGTGGGAGGGGCTGTGAGTAATGGAGTAAAACAAGTGCAGTGTACAGAAGCATTTTGTTATTAAAATTGTGTATACTGTAAAACCGAATTTGCCTCTTTCTTCCTCCCTTTTCAAGCAGAGGTGTCAAAAGCTCACCCTTTCACAATATGTAAAGACCAGCCTACACCCACTATCCCAAGCAGGTAAGGTGGGTTTGGGCCAGTCCGTTTGCCAGAACCCCACCAAAGCCAGCCCCTCAGTGAGCTGGGCTGCACGGGTTCTTCCCAAACAACATGTCTCTTGACTAGCAAAACTGCCTGAACGAGCAAGAGGAGAGTGAAAACCGAAGCCAAGCCAAACTCGTGGCCCTTGAGGCTGAACCCCTGTGAGTCCCTGCAGCAGAACAGCTCAGGCAGCACCGTGAGCCCCAGCACCAGCTGGCAGAGCTGCCGGGCCCTGGCTCTGACCCTGGGGGTCCCCCTGAGTCACCAGGTGGAACACCATGACCACCTGCTGGTCATGCTGCCAGCCAGGAGCGTGGCTTTTCCAACGGGACCACCCTGCCAACAATTTAGCGAGGACACACAGTCCGTATGGTTCAGAGATGTCAAACTAGCAAGACATCCCTTCAGCTCTGAGTCACAGCCATCTGGGAAGTGTCACAGTGCCTTCCCTGCACAGAAAGTTTCTGTCTATGGGCCACCACAGCAAACACAACGTTCAGAGCCAGAGTGCCTCAGTAATATGGGAAGGATTTCTGATTTTGAGAAGTGACAAGTTCACGGACACAACCCAAAAGCCTCCATACAAGAGTTGAACGAAAGAACAAGTTCCAGGATGTTCCAAGATGATTACATGCACCGAACTGCCAGCTAAAATCATTTTAGTAACTAAGCCTTAGCTGCATTTACTTTTTTTCCAAAAGGTTTGGCTGGAACAAGTTCTCAAGGGTTTTAAATGTCAGTTGGCAAACTGCCTCTTAAATCCTTCTAAATACTTCAAAGCAGCACATGATATATCTATTTTCCTAAACTCTTAGAGAATAATTTTACGAGAAAAAGCATCTCAACTGCAAAACCAGTTGTTCCCACAAGCAAAGGTAAGACACCTAAGAGAAAAAACAGTATTCTGAATATATTATGCAAAAGCTTTAAATCCAATAGTAACAAGGAAATGTCAACATCACTAGTAACTTACTTTTATAAATGTAGGCTCTGTTAAGACAACTGTAAAAAAATTGAGACTCAAGAATTTGACTGGAGAGGACTGTACAGATGAACTGAAAACTGCAGCACTGGACAACTCTGACTCCCTCCTCCACTGAGTGGCCAGGCTAAAACCTTGATGACAATATTTACTGTAATCTGTTCTCAAAGTAGTTTTACAAAATCATTGTTACCTAATCAAAAATTTAATTACCGTGAAGATATTAGGAAAAAAACTGTACTGTAATGAGTTAAAGCTCTATTTACCATATTTGACATCAGATCCACATGCTCCAGGTCTTATTTTGGAAGAAATTTTTTCCCTGTGAGGGTGGTGAGGCCCTGGCACAGGTTGCCCAGAGAGGTGGTGGCTGCCCCTTCCCTGGAAACATTCGAGGTGAGGTTGGATGGGGCTTTGGGCGACCTGATCTAGTTGAAGCTGTTCCTACTCATTGCAGGGGTGTTGGATTAGAAGGCCTTTAAGGGTCCCTTTCACCCAAAACATTTTATGATTGGGGGGGGGGGGAAGACAACTGTCTCATTAACAAAATTGGTGTTTATTTCTGTGATGGTTTTGGCTGCAAAGGGCACCGAGCAAACCCTTCTGGGCTGACAGGAAACTAAATCCTGATTTTAGCTTCTCAGCTGGTTTTAATCAACAAGGTCTATAATTTGACTTTTTCTCCTGTCTAAGTCTACTAAAAGGACAAGACTAAAGCGTTAAATACGCACAAAAATCATCTGAGACCATCTGAACGGGCAGCATAAGAACCAGGAGCCAGAAACTGAGCTGTGACCAGTAGGGAACACACCTCGAGTTAAATCCAAGCTCTTCTCCCCAGTGTGACACAAACACTTCCAATATACACACAAGCAAAATTAAAGGCTACTCCCTACTACCAGGACATTTAAAGGAAGTAATAAATCTTTCTTTTATAAACCCAAATTATTTATTTTAAATGCCATTGAAGTAACTTACCTGTTTTCTCCCAGCAGACTCTACTACTTTTATGTTGAATACTCAAGCAAACTACACACAGATAGGTGCTGGTTTTCTTTTCCACCATTCCCTACCCCAAAGGGTGGGCAGTGCAGCCACTGTTTGATATAGGTGCATCATGCTTTATACCAATTAAAAACCCAGCCATATTTCATAGGAAGTCTTCAAGTAAGTGGAAAAGGTTCATCCATCAAGAAGGTTCTTAAATAATGAATGAGTCATAATTCTTTACAGTCAAAAGCAATTAATTTTCTGTATTGTAATCAGGAGAATAAATCTGAAAAATCCATTCTAACGGCTCTGAATCTAAAGGTAGTGTTGCAGCTGAATTTTTAATCTTAAAATACAGGAGCAACGAGGACTTCTGCTGTTTAAACATACAATCTTCTACCAAACAGAACAGCTTTACTGCAT